GTGCTCGTGGCTCTGCTATCACTTTCGGGATTTCTTTTGGCCATGACATTTGTTTTCAAATCCCTTTGTGGGATCCTTTTTCCTTGATGCCGTCTGCCGGTGTCTGCTGTTTCGGATGCTTTCCGTTGATGGAGGTGTTTTCCGATGCTTACATCTTGCTGACGTCGTTCCTTGGGCGTCTGGTTCACGCTGGTTGTGCGTGGCCGCTTCTGGTTCTTGTGGTTCTTGTGGTTGTGCCGTGGCCGCTTCTGGCTGTTTTTTGCTTGGCCTGCTGTACTTTTGTTTATCTGTAAAATAATATGCCTATATTTCCTATTTAGGTAGTGATGAAGTGATGATCGCCCCCACTATCTAGATTCCAAGGCAAAGCGTAATTAGTTTCCTAGTCCTCGTAATTACCGGAAAGGCAATTAAATTAAGGCTCCCTGAATACAGAAATGAAATTAAAATTTTGATAATATTTATTTATTAATCGGTGAGTAAAAGTTTTTTTCTTTATTATTGACGTGGTCCAATCATAAATGTGCATTCATTGCCTCTAATTATAAAATAAAAAATGTAATAAATAAAAAAATAATAAATTTTTTTTTGGTATATCACATTTTGTATTCAATGTATCGTCCTTTTTGTTTTCCTTATTTATTATTTTGTAATTAAAAACTTTGTGTAAATTTGTGGGTGGACCAGCGGCAAGTATTGCCTATATGTCTTTGCATCCAATTAAGTAAACAAAACGGATTAATTTAAGTATATTATGCATGTTTTTTATTTTTTATTTTTTATTTTTAAATTATTTTTTTTGGAAAGTTTTTAATTTTTTAATTTTTTAAATTATTTTTTAATTATTTTTTTTAGAAGAAGTTTATAGAGAGAAAAACTTAGAGAGGGGATTGATAAGAGGCAAATTTAGAGAGAGAAAATTGTGAATGAGAGAATTTTAGAGAGAGAAATGAGTTGAATGCAATATAGAATAGATGTGTGTTTTGTGTTTTTATGTGATGAGTGAAATATGAGTTGAATATGGTTAACCATATTCAACCCATCTTGACCCTCAAATTAAGTGGTTAAAAATTACCCAACCCATCTTGATCTTCAAATTAAATATAGTTCACCCATAACCATTAAAAAACGGGCGAATATGGGCGGGTTGATGGTTCCTGACCCATTTTGCCACCCTTACGTAAAATACACAAATCATTTAAATTAATCAACTATAACAATTTAATTAGACAATTAAACAAACAAATAATCATAACAAAATTAAGCAATTCAAATCAAATAAAATAATTAATCAAATAAATTCAAATAATGTAAACAACTTAAATAAATAAACTTTTAATGTATAGGGGTGTTACAGTGGGTCTGACCCAATATTTATTTTTCAAGTTCACGACAATTTCAGACTTAGAGTTCGTTCGTACTGATTAGAGAACTGCCGTATTCACTATTCCGGATTGTCGATGTAAGACATTATCTTATGCTATGTTTGGTTGGAGGGAAGGATTGAGGAAGGGATGGATGAGAGGAGGGATGGATATATATTTTCATATTTGGTTGGAGGGAAGGGAAGAAAGGGAGGAAATAAGGAGGGATGCTTCATTCCTCATTCCTTTATATTTTTCTATTTGCCCACTTTTGGGGGAAAAAGAGGAGAGAAAGAAGGCATAACTACCTATAAATTTATAATTTACAATTTCAACCTTTACAAAAAAATTTGAAACAAATATCTACCTTTTATAATTTTATATAAAATGGTCTATTGGCAAAAATAATATATAAACCCTTCATCCCTTCCTTCCAACCAAATGAGAAAAAAGTATCACTTCATTCATCATTTTTACTATCCATTCCATTTAACCAAATATAAAATGGGAAAGACATCATCCCTTCCCTAGGGATATCTCATCCATCCCTCCCCCTATCTTCTTCATCCATTTTTCCATCCCTCCAACCAAACGAAGCATTAGACTTCATTAATTGTTTATACTTTATTATTTTGATTTTATTATTTAGTTCACTTATGGGATTTTATTTAGGGGTCCATGATATTCTTATTCTCGAGCCATACTTTGTAATATATTATTTATGGTTGTTTTTGAAGGGCTACGTTATTTGTAGAGATTCACTTTTTTATTGGATTTATTTGGAGGTTTTATTATCGAAGGATTTAGTATTTATTATTTAGTTTTTCTTTCAGCAATTATTATTTATTTATTCTTATTCCCTTATATTATGTATTTGTTTATTATATATTATGTTGATATCCCCCGGTCTTTGGGTGCGGAACTGATCAACCCGTGTTCAAAAAATGGGAAATATCACATACATGTGTGTGTGTGTGTGTATATATATATTATAGACACAGCACACGACGTCGTCATACAACAAGCACCACACACCGGTCCACCACCAACACTGCGCGGTCGCCGCAGCACCACGGCTCTGTTGTCAGTGCATCACCGCAGCTTTACCACGGCTCTGTTGTCTCTGACCGCCGTCCACCAAAACCTCTATCTTCTTTCTCTTTCCACCTTTTTTATTTTGATTTTATTATTTATTTCACTTGTGGGATTTTATTTAGGGGTCCATGATATTCTTATTCTCGAGCTTGTACTTTGTAATATTTTATTTATGGTTGTTTTTGGAGGGTTATGTTATTTGTGGAGATTCATTTTTTATTGGATTTATTTGGAGGTTTTGTTATCAGATGAATTAGTTTTGCTTTCAGCTATTATTTATTTATTCTTATTCCCTTATATTATGTACTTATTTATTATAAATTATTTTGATATCCCTCGGTCTTCGGGTGTAGACCTGATCAATCCGTGTTCGAAAAATAGGAGATATCACATACACGTGTATATATATATATATATATATATATATATATATATATATATTATAGACACAACACACGACGCCGTCATACAACAAGCACCACACACCGGTCCACCACCAACACCGGCGTCTGCCGTAGCACCACCATTCACACCCCCACCCCAATAACCACCACCACTAAACCCACCCTTACCCCCACCCCCACAACTGCACAAACCGTGAATCAACGGAGGCATTTTGGTCCTGAAAGCGGCATAGTTTAGGCAAGATCCACCCGCAATATCTGGTACGTCTTCTTCCTTCCCTCCAAACCACCACCGTCCGACGACTTCCTCCCTATGATTGTCTTCTTTCATTACTGGACATTTAAATGCCAGCCGCTGTCGTCCTTAGTCAGTAAGTTCAGTCCATGCCGTCAAGAAATTCAGCCCTGTTGCGTCAATGCATCGCCAGAGCTTCACCACGGCTCTGTTGTCTCTGACCGACGTCCACCAAAACCTATATCTTCTCTCTCTCTCCACCTTTTTTTTCCACCTCCAAATCAAACCCTTATTTTTCTAGACCAAACAGGGCAAACAAAATCAATAAGATAAGAATTTAGGCTTTTGAATCATCGATTTTTGTTGATATTCAAAACTTCAAATGAAATTTTTGTTTTATATTTTGTAGATATTAATTTTTTTGTTTTAGAATTCTTATAGAAGCATTCCAATACATTTAGAGATATGGTAACCCAATTTTTGAAAATGAAAAAGAATATATATATATATATATATGTGTGTGTGTGTGTGTGTGGAAAAAGTTTGCTTTTTAATTTTTCTAAATAAAAAAAGAAGAATAGAAAAAGAGATGGAAAAAGTTATGTATAAGATGAAATTTTAAGATAAAGAGGTTACGGAAAGAATCGTGCTCGAGTTGGAAAGATCTTAAAATAGTCACATTATGAAAAAAAATTATGTTTTAGTTAAAATTTTAGAATAACCATATCAGATTTTATATGTGAGTCGGTTTTTGTAGGGGGGTTTATAGTCGTCAATTATATAATTTTCCTTATTTTTAACTGTGACGTGACTTAATCAAATAAAATTGAAAGAGTTTTTGCGTTTTCTCTTTCGCTTTACTTGTCGTTACTATTAATATAATAGAGACAAGTGCAAAAAATATCCCTAAAGTATACTCCGCGTAACACTTTTACCGCTATTTGAAAAAATATATAAACAACACCCCTAATCTTTTCACAGTGTGCAAAAATACCCTATCAGACATAAATTGGTGCTGTAATACCTGTTTTACCTTTTTATTATTCTGAAAATACCCAAGATGTATATATGTTACTAATCTCATAGTATATGGGTGTTAAGTGCTCATTACTTCTTTTTTTTTTGAATTTTTTTTTTCTATATATATCTCTAAACATTTAGAAAAAAAAAAACGTTGAGAAAATTTGTAGAACAAATATTTGAATTTTTTAAGATTCCAGTTTACTCTTTTTTACTAATTTTTTTTCGTACAAATATTGTTAAAAAAAAAAAATCCTTAATATTAGTGTGCTCGGAGTTTGAAAAAAAATTATTTTCTTTAGTTTGCACTTTGTTTTGTTTATTATCTTTATTTTTCTTTTATAATGTTATTTTTATATTTACTTATCCAATATCGGCGTTCTCCAATAATGTCATTTTCGGTCATTTTATAAAATTATTTATTTTTATATATTTTATAAAATAATTCGAGTAATTTAGTCAATTTAGGATTTAAATTTATCAGAGGGACCTATTCGCACCATATTAAAACTTTAGATTTTTTTTTTTTGCACAAAAGGGGCATCATCTAATAGTGTCTTTTTTTTTTTTTTTTTTTATCATTTTACCAAATTATTTATTTTTATATGTTTTATAAAATGTTCAGTAACAATAATTTAGTCTAGGGTTTAAATTTGTAAAGAACCTATTTATACTTAAATTAAAACTTTAAACATATTTTTTACAGGTGTAATATGTACGTTTAGGCCGTTTTACCCAATTTAATACTAATAACAAATAGATATAGATAACAGATAGGTAACCGGTTTAATTCAAAGGAAAAAAAGTCGTTTTTTCAAAACACTTTTTTAAGGTTATAAATAATATAAAATAAACGTAGTTATATATAAATGTATATAGGGTTTGAAGTTGTCGTCCATCTCTGGTTTCCCAGTTCTCTCCATCAAATTGCATACACAATCGCAGCGCAGCACGCTTTTCTGATTCCAATCGTGGAAGGTTCTCTATCTCTGTTTCCCTCTCTCTATTTACACACACAAAAACACATACATACTGTATATATATATATGAAATTTATGTTTGCGCCTAATGTTCATTTGTAATCAATCTCCCCTCTATTCTGTGCGTGATTCAATTCTAACAAATTGATTTTGTCCTTGTTTATCACGCACGCAAAGAAGATTTATTAAGATGGGAGAAGAGACGGCTCTCTACATGGTGGTTGATGTTGACTCATCAGAGTATCGTTACGTCGTCTACCGCATAGAGATGGATACCATCTCCCGCAGCCCAACTAGTACTATGCCGGCTCTGCCAGAGCCGGCGCTCGTTTTGGGAAGAGAATTCCCCGCTGGTATGGCTTTTTTCTCTTTCGGATCCAGAATTTACATGCTTGGTTCCCGAAGTAGAAAGGCACCGTCTCGTAGGGTCGTCATATACGATACTGTTTCTGGTCATTTGGGAGTTACAAATCAACATATGCATACTCCAAAGTACGGACCCATCGTCATTCAGCCTGTGAAGCCCTTTGATGACAGGGTTTTTGTTCTCAGTCGAGATTTGTGCGGTCATGATTTAGAGGTTTTCTACCCGGATGGTGACGACTCAGGTTGGACATTTATCGGTGCTCCCTCCTGCTTCATTTTGAAACCGTTTGTTTGTGTTAGATGTCATGCAACTGTATTGGACGGGTTTATTCTCTTAATCAACACCAATGTCGTGTTTTACTATAACATCCCGAAGAAAATCTGGAGGATCGTAACCGAGTCATCGCCCAATTTCTCCTTCCTACAACCTAGTGTGTTTGCTAATGACATTTCTATGTGGTTTTACTATTGTGATGATTACCTGTGCGGTTATCATGTTGACTCCAACATGGAGGAGATGTTCAAAATTGGGGAATTGCCCCTCCTGTACTTCAATCATCGTGAACCCCCTCCTCTTTCTGACTTAAGGAATGATCTCCTTTATTTGGGGGATTTGATGTTTTGCATGGTGCGGACAGGGTGTGACGGCGATGCTGGTGATTGGTGTGGCCATGATCCCGCTCCCCGCATTCAAGCGACTGTAATTGTATTTCAAGTGGATCCCTCTGCCAATGCCATCTTAGAGGAGCGTTCAACGACTTATGATATTGACGTACTCGATGCCAGTGTTTGTGCTTGCTTTGTCATATAAATTAATATGGTTTACTTCTTCAATTCAGCTTAACTTTTGGTAAGTGCTTTGATTGACTTAACCCTCCAACTTTTGTGTAGTGCTAGGATGGGTGGATTTTCATGTTTAATTTGAGCTTGACTATGTGTACATCTTGTATTGTTCACTTATTTGGATAAAACTACTGCACATTACATATGCTGTAAGATACTAAGTTTACGACTCCCCTTAATTTACTAAATTCAAATGGCTATAGAAAGTTTACGTCTCCAGTTTCAACAAATTTTTTATTTTGTTATTACAGTTCTGTTGAAGAAGCCATTATCTTTTTTAAAGTTTCCATGCATGTCCGCTGTTGTATGTATGATAGAGGTGGCTGGTGCGGTTATTTACCTCAATGCTAACGTTTACTTGAATGATTGGATATATTTTTTAAGTACATGTTCAACCAAAAATGTCAGACACATATCTTATACCCTTGTTCGAGCTATATGTGTGTGACACCGATACTTCACTTACTTTTGAAGAGTCCATGTAACGTAGGGCTAGTAAGACATATTTCTGTATTGTGTGTGCATAATAAAAATTCCTGATTGCATTGATGTGGTTGCATATAGAAGCACAAGTCCGGGTTGTTTAGCATGATATGAGCATACCAGTTCTGTGGAGTATAAAGAATAAAGCCAGTAAATGTGCTCAAGGACACAAAACATTAATCAATCCTAGGATTTTTTTTTTTTTTTCGCCATCGAATTCAACCCGGACTTGTGCTTCTATATGCAACCACATCAATGCAATCAGAGAATGTTTTGAGCAGGTTTATTTTACATGGTTGTCTTTTCCTTTGCTTCCCCGTCACAATGCTTGATTCCATGCAGATTGATTTTGTTATTACAGTTCTGTTGAAGAAGCCATTATCTTTTATAAAGTTTCCATGCATGTCTACTGTTGTATGTATGATAGAGGTGGCTGGTGCGGTTATTTACCTCAATGCTAACGTTTACTTGAATGATTGGATATATTTTTTAAGTACATGTTCAACGAAAAGTGTCGGACACGTATCTTATACCCGTGTTCGAGCTATATGTGCGTGACACTGATACTTCACTACTTTTAAAGAGTCCATGTAACGTAGGCTAGTAACACGTATTTCTGTATTGTGTGTGCATAATGAAAATTCCTAATCATTCCGGCATAACTAAAGAAATTTTTATGAAATCATTCAGTATTTAATTTTGTGCTTTGAATTATAACATTTGATTTGTCACTTCAGATCATCAAATTTACAGTATTTGATTTTATGCTTTGGATCTGACCATCTGCTTCTCTCTTCTCATTTTCTTGGCCCAATTCCATCCAAATGTGAGAACCAATGCCATCATGCCAGTAGATGATTCGATATCCCGTCCATTCTTTGAGCATCTATCATGAGACTTAAAATCCATCCAATTAGCATGAATTGGCTCTTGTTTAGATTGTTTAAAGTCACCCAGAATCCCATTGTGTATGATAGTATAGTTGCAGCTTCTTTTTCCTTTAGCTTCCACAATGTCAATCTCAGAGCAACTAGATTCCCCGGTCTCTATGTCGGATCATTGCCTAGGAGAGATTTAGTAAAATTTATTGAAAAACATGCATCACTAAACTGATACTCATTATAATGTATTATCGAACACCTAACATGTTTTTTTACTGATTGTAATTTTTTGACAATTTTACTGGAGACTCCAAACGGACTCTAAACTGCAAAGGCAAATAGAGTTTTAAGGTGTTTTCCAATACTACTATTAAAGAGGCTCACCAATCCTTCAACTTTTAAGCATTGAGGTTTGAGGATTGAGTGGCCCATGTATGATTTAAATTGTGAGGATGAGAGTCATCTGCATTGATAGTGCTGGTAACGTATGATTGTGAAATTCTGGGAGTAACAATTGGACCACTGGGCCATAAGACCAATAATACCATACACATCCTTGATTGTAACCCTATTTCTGAGTCATAGTGATTAGTGAATAGTGAAATGTATCCCTATATCAGTTGTATGTACAGAGATGACCATTCAATAAATTATGTATATAATCATTTGATTAAAAAAAATTCATGTATCATCATATAATTCATTCTGTGTTGTTCAACTTGTTTGTTTCTTCCTCATTTTCTTTGTTCTGTGCACTGCATAATTACAATGTCACACACTTCCAAGAGTTCAAAATAAGTTTACTGCGCTTTTTATTTTATTTTATTTTATTTTATTTTTTCGGGGCGGGGGTACGGGTTGAACTCTTGATCTTCAGTTTTGAAAGGTGAAACAAGTACCACAAAGAAACAAACAACCCATTTTATGACTAAACCTTTTTTAGTCATTAGATTTAAAATGCACTATGATATCGCAAGAATAAGTAACTTTTTATACTCATTTGCCATAAGTAACTTTTTATACTCATTTGCCATTTTAAGGCAAAATCTAATCATAACCCGTTTCAAATCTTATAATAATGAGATAGAGTGCTTCACGGTATATTATACCTTTATCGAGACTCAAACACTTCACTTCTCTATTTTTTAAATAGAGAACTTTTACCATCTAAAATGATGTACATTGTTTCTATCGCAATATTCTTATCAAACCAAAATGGTGTTAATATAGTGGTCCGTATAGCACATTAATAGCTAGGCAGGTACCATCAAATGGAAAAAAAATTACTAATAAAATCTAAAATAGATACATTTCAAATCTTATACAAATCAAAACAAACACAAATTTGTTTTTTGGTTAAAGAACAAACACAAATTTGCTTTAAGAGAAGAATTCAATTTCGAGATCACTTTCGAATGGGGCCATTGGTGCACCATTATAGGGAGGTTACATCAAGTAGAGGCAAAGACCATCAAATGATGAAAAAAACGATGGACCAAACGGTTAGACAACCTGAATGGACCCCTTTGTTAACCCATGTAAAGGCATAATATAGTAACATCCCAATTTCAATGGCACTTCCACAGCCTTAGTCTCGAGAAATTAGTCAAGAGTCATCTAACGTGTAGTCTGTCCAATCAAAACTCTGCGATTAAGAAATATAGATTCCTCACAATTTAATAAAAAAAAAAATTAAATATAAATTTTAATTGAATTGAATAAATAACTTGTGATTTGAAACTATCTAATAAAATTTTCTTATTCTTGAACACAAAAAGGATCTGCAAGAAAAATCCAATTCACATCTTTTAAACCGTCATAAATTTCATCATCCTGTGACTACTTCATGTGTACTCTCTTGACAAAAGAATTGTACCAATATACATGTATTTAGGAAAGGTTCCCGTTGTTGGGTTGATTCACCCGGTCCAGCCCATGAATTAACATGGCTTGGCCCATAGGATTCGGAGCCCAGCCTGACATTGATGTGTGTATACAGTAATTATATCATATACATATTTATATGTGAATTTCTTTTTCTTTCTTTCTGTGTTTTTTTTTTTGGAATTTATACTTGGAGTAATTTATAAAGCTATTAAGATTAGGAGTTTTACGGAAAATGATCCTTTTGTTCAAATTGTAAAATTGTGTTTGTTTGGGATAAGGATAAAATAAACTTCAAATTGTATAAAATTGAGATAATCTAAACCTGAATATAATTAAAACCAAAACCAAACATTCTCCTCTTATATAAAACACAACCATTTTTGTGCCAAACACCCCTTTATGTACAACGCACACTCTCTCTCTCTACTCCTTCAGTTTGTTCTCCTCTGGCAGCGAATTCGCCGATCATCCCACGACCTCACTGGTGACAACCGCCGTCGACTCCTTTTATTTTGATTGGGATCTGATTTGGTGAGTCGAACCAAATTAATCGCGAAATCAACCTCAATTTTGAAGATATATATATGGGTTCTTATGATTTTGCAAAAATTGAAGAGGAAAACATTACATTAAAGTTTATTTTCTTGTTGGTTCGTTGGTATATCTCTTCTCGTTTATCAATTCTTCCTCTATATTCGATTATGTCTCTCTCTCTTCATATCTTTTACATATATAAACCCTAACATTCTATCTCTATCTAAATCTAAATCTAAATCTAAATCTAAATCTAAAATTGTAAACCCTAAATCTGAATAAATTCTCTCTTTTTTGATTGTTTTCTGTTTTCTTGGTAAGTTAGCAAAAATCTTATTTAGTGTAGCTTCTGGGTACTCTGTGTTTTTGTGTTTCAATGTTTATTCTGTTCTTGCCGTTCAAATAGACAAAATCAAAATAAATTCTAAAATGATCTAATAAATTCGTAATAGAGGCATAGAGCCCCACAACATTCAATACTTCTAAAGAAGAAACGTATATGTTTCTTCTTCCGCTTTTCCGTCCCTTATAGTCTATGGCCGCCAGTATCATGTAATGAAAATCCATTAACAAAGAAAAAACGTTTTCCGGAAATCTGATGAGTGGATTTAAGTCTATGACCGCCAGCATCTGGAGTGGATTTAATTATGTGAACAAGAGATGAAGTGGGCGAGTCGTAGAAAACAAAGGAGGGGGAAATCTGGAAAGGGGGTATATGCACATATAGGTGAGGGGCAAAATGGGCATAAAAGGGTAGAATAGAGTTTTCATATTTAATTTTTGTCAAAAAGTTGTCAAGAGGGGCTTATTTGTTACTTTTTTAAATTTTATGGACTAATATGCACATTTTAAAAAAGTAAGGACTAGTTCTGCACAATTCCAAGGGGTTTTTTTTACACTTAACCTTTATTATTATGGTAAAGTACAGAGACCCCTTGAGGTTTGTCAAAAGGGACACATGAAAGTTTGTCTATTTTGGAATAATCACATTCCCTTGTGAAATTTGTAATCCAAACAGAGCCTTAAAATTTGTAAAAAGTCTATTTTACTCTTCACTATTTTATTAATTTTAATTATAAAATATTAAAATACTTAAATGATCAAATTACCCTTAGCACCCAATCCAACAATCCAACAACCCAAACCCTACAACAAAATTCTGGCTCAACCACCACGCCAAAATCCACAATCACCACCATCCCCATCCCATCCCCACTCACAAACCACCGCCACCATCTCTACCCAACAACCACCTAGCAATTTATTTTCTCTCCTCACCACCAATCATCATCACCAATTAATTACAAATCTAAACCCAACCCTCCCCTCGAAAAAAAAAAAAAAAACCCATTTATAGAACAATTAAAGCCATCACCGCCGGATTTT